GCTGAGCAGGGAGCCCGATGAGGGGCTCGATCCCAGGACCTTGCGATCATGACCTGAGCCGAAGGCAGACGCTTAACGACTGAGCCATCCAGGCACCCCAGAATCTATATTCATTTTTTTTTTTAAAGATTTTATTTTATTTGAGAGAGAGCGCACGAGTTGGGGAGAAGGGCAGAGGGAGAGAATCTCAAGCATGCTCTGGGCTGAGCTTGGAGCCCAACACGGGGCTCAGTGTCACGATCCATGAGATCATGACCTGAGCTGAAACCAAGAGTTGGGCATTTAACCAACTGAACCACCCAGGCACCCCAGAATTTATATTCTTTTAACTGTTAAATGTTCTTTTAGACACATGCTTTTCTAGGTATATACACTAACAGTAATCATAGTGTATAAAATGAAATGAACACATGTCATCATAGGTTTTGTTTTTTATAAGTCACTATCTACTGGTTGAATTATTGACCCCATTTTATGTTCCTTAGGTTACTGGTGTTGGCTACAATCCATTTGGGGAAGTGATTGTTGATGGTGATGTTGTTCATGGATTCTATAACCCAGCTGTTAGCAGAATTGTTGAGGTAAATACTTTATTCTCTAAGAAGGTGACTTTTCGTAATGACTTAGGACACAGTGATGGGTTCTTAGTTTCTGTATATTTCTTTTAGGCGGGCTGTGTATGCAATGATGCTGTAATTAGAAACAACACTCTAATGGGAAAGCCAACGGAAGGAGCTTTAATTGCTCTTGCAATGAAGGTATGTGCCTGATTTCTCTTTGACATATGAGAACTCACCTTCATAAGAGAATGTAAGGCCATCAATTTCAGTATTACTGGTTTTTAGGTGTAGAATGAAGACTCTCAATATTTCATTGTATTATTGCCTTTTGGGAACCAGTTTTATTCTTCCTGGAAATACAGAGCTAATCCAGCCTTTTCAGTATAGCTTTATCCCTTACGTTCAAGAAACAAATTAATGACCAGTGACTAGATTTCTTCTTATGAAGGAATGTTTTCATAATATTTTCCACAATATTTAGAGTTTTGTGTGGAAAGCTTTCTAAATGTGTGTAATTGCTGAAGTACTAACTTTCAAACAAGTAAAAGGCAGCATTATTTAAGTATTTCTATGTAAAGATACTAAAGCCATCATGAGAAATCAGCTTTTCTTTCTCTAGTCTTCCCATTTCCTCCATTATCAATTTCTTAAATGAGTATATTGTTAGAATTTGTGTTGGGGCATCTATCCCAGTTGATGTCCTCTTCTAAGTCTTATATTTGATTAAATGAGAAACCTAAAGTCCCCTTTGTCACTCCCATAACAAAAATTAAAACTCCTACTTTCAGGAGTAGTCTTAGAAAATTTTGAGACTTGTGTGAAACAGGACATCTCTAGATGAGGTTGTTTGAATTGAGATTCAATATAGAAATGTAGGTTATTATATTTAATTTAATAAAATAAAATTGATAGTTTTAGAATAAAGCTACATTTCTTTATCATTTTGTTGTAACTAAAATAGCATTGAATAGCTTTTTGAAAGATACTTAAAAGTTCAATCTGTTAACCATTATTTACCGTGTTATACTTAACCTTATACTCTTAACTTTTTTAAGAGATAAAAGAGTGTGGAACCACCTCCTTATGACTGGGGATTTCACATTTTAGGTAGGGAGTTGACACTGACATGCATGGAACAAATACAAGCTAGACCAGTATAGCACATAGTTAAGTCTTAAAGGTTGAGCCACATATAAGAATAAGGCAAGTTCAGATTTGAGACCTAGGCTTTGAGGCATAAGCAGGATTTAGATAGGTAAGCTAGGAAAAGAGCAAGGATAAAAGCATGGAGAAAAAAAAAAGCATAGAATGTGTGGTGGCTTGTGTATTGGTGAATTTGGATGGAAAAAAAAGGAGTTTGAGTAACCCAGAGGATTGTTGAATAGACTGCATGGTGGGTTTCTGGAGGACCTTTGAAAGCCAGGAAGAAGAGTCTGAACATGTTTCAGTAGATAGCAAAGAGACAACAAAAAGTAATGAGCTAGGTTTTTCAGTAGTTTAAAAAATATTTTTGAATATTTGGAGTTAAAAGGTAGAGGGTATTGTGAAGAACAGCTAAAGGACACTGATAGTAGGTCAGAATATCAAGTGGTAGGATGGTAGCAACAGGAAAGATATATTTGAATCCCTAAGAAGTAAGAAATTGAATTTGAAGCTTCTGTTGATCAGTATTGGTTGGTTGGGTACCTTTATTTATTTGTATCCTGCTTCCTTCGAGAATTTGAGCCAATAGAGATTTTAATCTAGTCAGTGTTGAAGAGTTGGTCTACATACGGTCCAGGTAGCATGCCTTGGCCTGTATCTACACACCCAGGCTTTCATCTTGATCATGTATGTTGCCCTTCAGAGAAATGTGGTATATGTAGATGGAGCACTGCTATTCTGTCACCATTTTTTGAAAAATACCCAGGTATCTGTAGCCAGCCAACTGTAAGTTGTGACCCTTGTTCTCTGTTAAAGGAAAAAATAGTCACATGTTGGTGAGAATTAACTTTCTTTTTGTGCCATATAGATGGGTCTTGATGGACTTCAACAGGACTATATCAGAAAAGCTGAATATCCTTTTAGCTCTGAGCAAAAGTGGATGGCTGTTAAGTGTGTACACCGAACACAGCAGGTACCCTTCCATGTAAAGAGTACTTACTAAATCTTATTTAATATAGATGACTATATTGTATTTATTATCCACCTTTACTTTTAAACAATCATTGAACATAACAAAGCCTTATTGCTTTAAAGTGTGTATAATTCATGGTAACTCATCTTTGTTCTCATGTTCTCTTTGAATTCATGCGTAGGGACATCAAGTTTTGCTGTGTGAGCAAACAGCTTAAAATGAACTGGAGCCTGGTCTCAATGTCCTAGAACTTGTGACACCAGATTCTATCCACATTTTTGTTGTTGATGACTATGTACTATAGATTTCTGCCCTCTGGTGTTAATCTGTGTTCTTTCACTGAATGAATGTCTTGTCTTCAGAACAAACAGAACTGCATTATTTTGTGGAAAAGTGGTTACCAAATGTGTATAATTCATATTAGTTGATCCAGCTTACAAACTGGCAAAATGACATGCACTGATATTTCAAGCCGCTACTTTGTTCCTGGGTGCTTTAGAAATGTTTACAAAGTTATTATCTTATTATATTATCTTATAATTATATTATATATTATCTTATTTATATTAACATATACTATATAATAATATAATATGTTATGACATAATATATACTATATTATTGTACTACATATTATATTATTATATAATATCTTATACTAAGAGTTATTTGCAGCATGTAATTATGTCAGTCATAGTTGCTATTACCAGCTTGATGCTTAAACTTACTTTGCCTTTAAAATATACATATTTTGTTATTTTTATATTTTCTTTATTAGGAATTAATAATTGGTTCTGTGTTTTCACCTGTGAGCAAGAAACCATTACATCCCTGTAGACATGAATGAGTGAGAGGATTTCCTCACACCCCCATAATAAGTAGGAAATATAATTGATTTTATTTTTAACGATTTTATTTATTTATTTGTCAGAGAGAGAGAGAGAGAGCAATAACAGGGGAAGCAGCAAAGGGAGAGGGAGAAGCAGGCTCCCCACCAAGCAGAAAGCCCAATGCGGGGCTTGATCCCAGGATCCTGGGATCACAACCCGAGCTGAAGGCAGACGCCCAACCGACTGAGCCAGCCAGGTGCCCCAGAAACATAATTGATTTTAAAAGAAAGGCCAATTTGGCCAACATTGAACTTGTGAATAGATGTCTGCCAGGAACTCTGATCATGAGAGGAAAAAAGATTTCTATCTAATCTTTAAAGGAACTTTTATGAACTCCTGGGAAGGGAGACAAGTGAAAATAAAACTGTAAAAATAAAATGCCTTAAACCTTATAAGGGGTGCCTGGCTGCACAGTTGGTGGAGCATGCGACTCTTGATCTCACAGTTGTGAGTTAGAGTCCCACATTGGGCATGGAGCCTACTTAAACCTTGTAACATGAAGTTTTCAAAAATTGCATTAGAGTAGGTAATTTTCAGCTGATGTCCCTTGACATAGAGTTATACAGCAAGAATATGTATACGCGTTTATTTGGAAGGTCTGTTTCTTTACATTTTATGTATGATCACATAGTACTTCAAGATAATGTGGCTCATGTAAAGTTTAATGATTTGACTTCGGCAATTTTGAATCTAACTTCATCAAAGTTGTACTTTGGAAATTGTACTTTGATGTTACAGTTTGATGTTCTCAGTTGTGGGAGTGGGAGATAGGTATGGGTAGTGAGCAGGATATAAGTTTGAAAAGATTTGTGTGATTATTCTTCTCATTTACTGATCTGAAGAGCTTCTCTTACAAAATAAAACCAGCCAATGTAACTAACAAAACCCAAACCCACTGATTTGACTCAGGATCTAGAAGAGGTCAGCCTGGCACAGATGTGACAGATTTACCAATTTAAAAATAATCCCAGGGGCTCAAATAGTCTTAAAAAGACTTTCATTTGTGCATGTCAGTATACATTTATTTATACTTCCTCCCTGGACCCTGCCAAAATGACAACCAATGCATAAAGAATATAAAAAAGAGAAAGTACAGAAGACTCAGAGTGAAGATGGGGACTAAGGCAGAGAGCTAAAAACAGGAGATCAGTTTGAAATTCTCCAAGTGCCTTTTCTGTTTCTTGAGGCCAGATCATTAGCCCTTTTTTACCCCTGTAGAATATCAGAAATCTCATCTTGTAGACAAGAGTGGAGGGTGGAATTAAGGCTTACACTGAAAACAGAGTGATTAAGGTCAAGTCATTGTCCTGAAGGGTAAGCCTCTAGCCTTAATTCCACTTTCTTAGAATGCCTGTAGAGAGGTATCTCCCTGCCCTCACTCTATAAGTAAGAAGATTGAAGAGTTGTAGAGAAGCTGACTGGTCCCAGGGAGATCCCAATGGTACAGAGTATTCTTCTTCTTCTTCTTCTCCTTCTCCTTCTTCTTCTTCCTCTTCCTCTTCTTCCCCTTCCCCCTCCCCCTCCTCCCTTCTCCTTCCTTCTTCCTTTTCTTTTTTTTTTTTTTTTTAAGTAGGCTCCATACCCAGCGTGGGAGTCCAATCCAGGGCCCCAACTCAACCCTGGGATCAGGACCTGAGCTGAGATTAAGAGTCTGATGCTAAACTAACTGAGCCACCCAGGTGCCCCTAGTACAGAGTATTTTTTTTTTAATTCATTTATTTGAGAGAGAGAGTGAGTGAGAGAGAGAGAGAGACCAGGAGCCTGGGGGAAGGGCAGAGGGAGAGGGAGAACCAGACTCCCTGCCGAGCAGGAACCCCAGTGTGGGACTTGATCCCAGAACCCTGGGATCATGACCTAGGCCGAAGGCAGATGCTCAGCCAACTGAGCCACCCAGGCGCCCAGTACAGAGTGTTCTTAACTAAACTCTTCATTTACTGGTAGAGTTTTCTGACTGCCGGTCATCATTTCATCACCCTACAGTGAGGGCCATCATTTGATAAATCCTATCAATGCCCATGGAGCTTCTAGACCTTTAATTTCTTCAGTCTTAATATAAATGGACAGTCAGGAATTGCTAGATACTTGGGAAAAGTCTTCAGTAGGAAAGGCACAGACCAAACCAACAGAGAAAGTGGTCTCAGCAAAACAATGATAATGTTGGATGCTGAAGAAAATTTCCAAAGACCATAGAAAATGACAACAAAATACCTTAAATAGAACATTTTAAAATAAAGTCAATGAATCTATCAGAAAGTGGAACAAAAGGTCAAAGAGGTGCTTAATATAAAAGATAAGGTACAAAAATCAGAAAATAAATAGGACAGCTACCACTCATCTAATAGTGGTAACAGGAAGAGCGTCCAGAAAATGGGAAGTTTTTTTTTTTAAAGATTTTATTTACTTGACAGAGAGAGCACAAGCAAAGGGAGAAAGAGGGAGAAGCAGGCTTCCTGCTGAGCAAGGAGCCCGATGTGAGACTCGATCCCAGGACCCTGGGATCATGACCCTGGCCGAAGGCAGCCGCTTAACCGACTGAGCCACCCAGGTGTCCCGGGAAGTTTTTTTTTTTTTTTAAGATTTATTTATTTATTTGAGAGAGAGAGAGATTGAGTTTGCACGCAGTGCAGTGGAGGAAGGGGAGGGGGAGAGGGGAAGCAGACCCCTCGGTGAGTGGGGAGCCTGATGCGGGGCTCAATCCTGTGATCACGACCTGAGCCTGAGCCAAAACCAAAAACCAGGAGTTGGCCACTTAACTGACTGGGCCACCTGGGTGCCCCCAATATGGGAAGATTTTGTCAAATAACACCAGACAGTGTTTCAGAGGAAGGACTTCACCTTCTACAGTAAAATTGCCTACCAGCTGCTCAGCGCAATGAGTTATGTTAAAGAAGGGTGGGGTAAAGAGATAAACACAACAGTGCCCATAATCAAGAAATTTGAGGGTGTTTAAGGAGAATTCTGAAAGCTTCCACAGGTTTGGGGGCCAGAGAGGAGGCAAGGGGAAGATCATATACAAAAGTTTAGGAATTAAAGTAGCTTCTTTAGGCTTTTCAGTTGTAACACTAGACTCTGGAGGCTGGAAGATAATAGAAGAATGTCTTCAAATTGAGAGGAAATTTATTCTCAGCTGAACTTAAAAAATGTGATAGAATAAGAATGTTCTTAAAATTTTTTTTTTTTAGATTATTTATTTATTTCTTTGACAGAGAGGGAACACAAGCAGGGGAGTGGGAGAGGGAGAAGCAGGCTTCCCGCAGAGCAGGGAGCCCAATGTGGGGCTTGATCCCAGGACCCTGGGATCATGACCTGAGCCGAAGGCAGATGCTTAACAATTGAGCCACCCAGGCGCCCTGTTTTCAGATATTTCAAGTCTCAAAATGTGTATCCCACACAGCTTTTCTTAGATACTTGCAGATATTTTATTCCAAGATAAGACAATAGATAAGGAAAAGGAAGACTTAAAACCTGGAGTTCTAACCTGGAGAATGGTGCAAAGAATCCCCAGGATAGAGGTGAAGAGAAGTTCCTGGATACGAGTCATGGAGTAGGCCTACAAATCGACCAACTCAAACTAGAAAGAAAAGGAGAACAAGACTCAAGAAAGAGACCTTCAGTAATGATGTGGAAGGAATAGCTTACTTGCTCATTTAATCATATAAAAAATACCAAAATAAATAAAAAAGAAGTTATAAACTTTTTAAAAGATAAACAGGAAAAGAAATATATTTGATTTATATAGGCTATGGAATCAACATCTTACCTCTTGCCTCTCTACCTTCTAATATCTGCTCACCAGTTACTTGGGGACCTAGGCAGATGGAAGCTGCATCTCAGTCTGTGCACACTGCCCTAGCAGGGCCAGAGGAATAGCACATTATTTTCATTTGGAAGTGACACAGTACTGCTCATATTTATCAGCCAAAACAAGTCATGCCTGACTTCAAAATGGGAGAGAAGGGCAGGGAAATACATTCCTGTTATGTGCCTGCAAGAAGTGGGATGCTTCCCCGCATTGGGCTCCCTGCTCGGCGGGAAGCCTGCTTCTCCCTCTCCCACTCTCCCTGCTTGTGTTCCCTCTCTCCCTGTCTCTCTCTCTGTCAAATAAATAAATAAAAAATCTTCAAAAAAAATTAAAAAAAAAAAGTGGGATGCTTGTGAACTGTTCTAGTGACTAGTACTTTGTTCAGCAGTGAGGAATCATAAAGTAAAAAGAATACTGGCAACTTTTGTTTTAACTATATTGTAACAATGGGGAGGGGAGGAATGGGTAGTAGGAGTGGCCAAACTACAAGCTGTCACAATAGACGATGTATGAAACTGATCAGTGAAAAAGTAGCAGTATAAATGTATTTAAGAACATGGAGATAAGTACCAAGGAACAGCCAAAAGAATTAAAATTGGTTTGGCTCTGTGGAGTAGGACTAGAGGTGAGAGAGTTTGGGCAGGCAACTGCAGTTTTTCATTGTAAGCTTTTGTATAATGCTAGGGTAAAAAGTAAAAGGTTCTGATACCCATAATTGCAAGGTGGTTATGAGAATTAAATGAGATCACATACATTTGTACATATAATAGCAACTAATGGAAAGCCTGAACCACTGCTTGTGGGCTGATGATAGATCTCTTTCCTTTTCCTGTTAGGTTGTAAGCCTCTCCCCTTACAGTGCCTAATCCAGGGCTTCGTATAGCATTGCCTTCAGTGTGTGGAGGTGAGGGTGGGAAGTAGATGCTGTGTTCTCTAGAGGGTAAAGAAAGCTTCCACAAATGAGGTTTTAATCTTCAGAGTTCAAGTGCCACTCAAAGCCTTATTTAGGCTTGAGTAACTTCGCTGGGGATTATGAGAAATGCATGCCATGTATTGTTGGACTCCAGTGGCAGATAGGTATAAGTTGAAATTAACTTGAATTTATTTGCTGTTTTTTCTTTTTAGGACGGACCAGAGATTTGTTTTATGAAGGGTGCTTATGAACAAGTGATTAAGTATTGTACTACATACTACAGCAAAGGGCAAACCTTGACACTTACCCAGCAACAGAGAGATCTCTACCAACAAGAGAAGGCACGAATGGGCTCTGCAGGACTTCGAGGTAAGGCCATTTCAGCATAGTCCCCTAGGGTGGAAAGGTAATGCTTTTTTCTTTTCCTTTCTTTTCCTTCCCCTTCCCGTTCTTTTCCCTCCCTCCCTCCATCTCTTCTCTTTCTTTCTTTCTTTGTTTCATTGAAGTAGAGTTGACATACAATGTTATATTAGTTTCAGGTGTACAACATATTGATTTGACAAGTCCATACATTGCTCTATGCTCACCATTTATAGTGTGGTCACTGTCTGTCACCATATAGCATTATTACAATATATTCCCTATGCTGTACTTTTCATCCTCATGACCTTTTTATTTTATAAGTGGAAATTGGTCCCTCTTTATCCCATTCACCTATTTCACCCATCCCTCCCCACTCCTCAGTGATGCCTCCCTTTAATTTTAGATGATTTCGTGCTTCATATCTGAGCTGTCCAACTCTATCCCAGGCTTTGTAGAATACTGCCATTTCTGAAGTGTTATGTTTTAGTCGGCTGTTTGGCCCCCAAAACACAAGAAGTCAGGAATGTAGCAAAATGTGAAATTTCTATTTCTTACAGACCTGCATTGGTCTCTGAGTAGGTGATAGAAATTTTATTTTAGACAAGTTTTTCTTGTGAGAAGGGAAATGGAGGAAGGTAAAACGGTATTACTCCTTCCTTATTTCATCATTTGGACTGTCTTATTTATTTATTTATTTTATTTTATTTATTTATTTATTTTTAAAGATTTTATTT